TGGCTGTATCTCTTCATGCAGATCTGCAGTGTGTGTGAATGATGAAAATACCAGTGGATTTCCAGTCTTCTAATCTTCTCCTTATTGGTCAAACAGTGGCGCTCTGAGGCAAAACTAGGGAACTGCAATTCTTGGGAATTTTATTTCCTCTTAAATCTATTAGAATCTCCTTAAATTACAATGCCTAATAATTGTAATTTCTGGATAACAGAATTTAAAACTTTAAAATAAAGGTAAATACATTTTTTATGAGTATTTCTTTCTTTGAAATGTGTTCACATCAAACAAAGCTAAATGCTGGTTTATTTAAGTGTTTAAACCTAAACTCCATTCACAAAAACTTAACAAAAATATTTTCCATAATAGCCACAAAAGATATATACAGATCAGGTACACTAAATACTTTTGCACATGCAGATTTTATCAGTGACATCATTGCTGTTACGTACATAGCCTATGCAGGGAGCAGAACTGTTGGAGAGGCCCAACAGCTCCAACCACTACAGGCTGCCTGCAGAAAACTAAAGGAGGAGGTAGCGACAAGACTAGTCACCCTGCCCAAGGAAAGAGTGCAGCTAGTGGTGTATTTTGGTTTTGTGCTGCCCTAGGCAACCAAAAAATCGGAGCCTGGCACTGACCAACAACAACACCACCACCATCCCCCCGTTCAGAGAGCCTGACATTGACCAACAAACAACCCTGCCCCCCCCCACCCGAGAGAGCCTTCCTAGCAGAACATACAACCCCCCCTTACCGGAGAGAAAGAGAGAAAGACACTCACCTTCACAGCTCTGGATATCCCTGGGAACAAGAATCGAGCTCTGCATACACCATCAAGCAGCCTGCAGCCTCTCTCAGATCCCACCTAGTCCCTGTAGTGCATGTGTCCATTCTTCCGGGGGGCAGTGCTGCCCCCCTGAAAAATGCCACCCTATGCATATGCCTTATTTGCTCTGTGGTAAATACGCCCCTGAGTGCAGCAATGACTGATCTATATTATAGGAAGCTTCTGCACAAAGACAAAGGTTCACACTGGCTTACTGCACAGATCTGGAAGACATACAAAAAGCATACCTTGATTTAAGTTAGAATATATAGCCCCTGTATTTTGACAAATTTTGCTTTGCCTGGTATTTGGACTTAAGTTATGCTTGCAGTAGGTAGCAATTAATATTCTGAACACATATTTCAACACAATCTGCAAATAACTGTATAATAGTTGGGCATGTCATAAACGACTGAACTTAATTGTTTAAATTGAATAATCAAGCTCATATTGTGCATGCAGATAACCATAATCCTTCATATTTTTATTAACTAAGATGACACAGGAATTTAAAGTATAACTATGGAGTCAATGGAACTGTAAAACAACCATGACTAAAAAAAGAAACAGCCCTAAAAACAGGTGTTTGGCGACAGCAGTATCACCTCTGAAAAGTGATCATCTGCACTGCTGTCTGTGTGAGTAGGTCCTAAGAGACAAACCAAGAACAATTCCACCTAACATTTTTTGGTTAGTCACAGTAACAGTTTTTTCTTGCTGTGGAAAAACGTCTATGTCATATGAACAAAAGCTTGCTTTTATGAACACCCCCAATAGTGCAATATGGTTTCTTTTAACCCCTGTAACTGCCACTTTTGGACAGCTTGGTCTGTTTCAGATGGTGGAAAAATAACAGATCTACTGGCTGTATCAATAGGTAATAATTTTGGAATAGTTACACTATAGGGGTGTCAAACTGGCGGCCCTCCAGCTGCAAAACTACAAGTCCCATCATGCCTCTGCCTTTGGGAGTCATGCTTGTATCGGTCAATCTTGCAATGCCTCATGGGGCATGTAGTTTGGCAACAGCTGGAGGGCCGCCAGTTTGACAGCTGTGCAAGAATGCAATAATTTATAGAGTTTTACTAATTCACAAAGAATAGATTCTACTTCTCTCTTTTAACAATATTCACTTTATAAAATAGAAACACAGTTTCATAGTTGACAACATAGTAAAGTGTTTCATAATATTTTACTGAAAAAGTGCTTAACCCTTCCCTATATCTTAAAATGTTTAGTGAATTTGGCTATGTATAGTTTTGCATTCGTTAAAAATATCTGTGTTCATAAGTAACTTCAAGACAAAAAAGTTATTAGAGATAAACATCTGATACTGTATGAAATGCAATGTCTAACTTATAAATTAAACTCTGTTTATGTATGAATGCATCGAAATAAACAATCTGATAATTTCATGATTTGTATAAGTGAGCTCTTTCTAATGTCTTTATCTAAAGTTTTTAAACTTGTAAGATAAAAGTATAACAAGAATATTTATGTTAGCTTTACATAAACTATTGAAGACCCACCTTTAGATTTCATAATGCTTTTGGGTCCCAGTTAGGAGGAAGCAGAATGAGGGGAAACATTTTCCCAATGAGCATACAGACGTTGACAAAAAACTAATAGAAGAATTTAAGTGGTGGCATGCTTGACCCCAGCGTAGGTGAATGTTCCAAGCTGATGTGACAGGACTTTTTAAGCAGCTCTTGAGTGCAAGATAGGCCCTGCACAGATCTTGGGGTAATGTATCAAGATACCTCCATACACCAGATTAGAATTGGCTTTAATTACCACCAGTTTCCTAGAGAATAGGGCTAATTTATTCCCCCAGTGGTCATTATTGTACATAATAGAAAATTAGATAAATTATCTACAACATGCAATATTCACAAATTTTAAATTAATGTTGCATTATGTGTACATTTTATGTTAACATGTTAACATGTCAAAAGTATTTGATAGTCATTTTTTGAGGATATATGTAATTCCAAAATTGTCACAGTCTACCATCACAAGTTAATGCATGATTCTGGTAGACACACGTATTGCAGTTTTGTAAACAGTTTAGGCATAACTAAATATTTAAAATAAACACATAAAAAAACCTCCAAAATATGCTTTTTTACACTACAATCCTACAAAGATAGCTTATCAGGGACCACCACTAGTTACTAAATAGTCAACTGTAATCCTAAAACAGGTGCAATATTAAAAAAAAAAATGTATATATATATATATATATATATATATATATACACACACAGGGAGAGACTATAATGCTTTCCAAAGCATCAATGACATCCACAAAGACTTAATTAATTGTGGTGATCACTTACCTGAGTAACTCTCCAGTGTTTGGAAGCATTTCTTTTAAACTCTCAGTTCCAAGACCTGAATCATCTGTGTCAATAAGATTATCCACAGGGACATTTTGATTTGACTTTAAAATACCAACATCACTCTCAGATGGGTCCAAAGCAACACAAACATTGTAGGAGTAGGGGAAGGGCAAAGTTCCATCGCTATACATAGAAAGTATCCTGGGATCAGCTGGAGGATATAGGCTTGTAGTTAAAGTTCCAAAATCTGGTAATGGTTTTGACTCTTTGCATTTTGATATAATAACTAAAATAATGGTTATAATAAACAACAAAGAAATCAGCGCTAAAGCAATCACCAAGTATAATTGCAAGCGTGGCTGAGGATCTTCATCAGGATGTTGATTGCTGAGTTTAGGAACAATCTGCTGGAAATTACCTACTACAATGAGGTTTAAGGTGACCGTGGCTGACAAAGATGGAATGCCATTATCTTTTACCATCACCACAACCTTCTGATTCAGTATATATTCATTTTTTCTCTTGAAAGATACGTGATGTCCTGATTTCTCCTGTGTGTTCATTAATGACAAAAAAACGATGGTTCTGATATTTGTGTAAAATGATAAGAAAGCCAAGCGTTATGTCCAGAGTCTTCATCCACCGCAACCACCTTTGTTATTAAAGAACCAGGTTCAGCTGTGAAAGGAACCATCTCAAATGGATCCTGCCCACCACTTCCTGGGGATGGAAACAAGATTTTTGGAGCATTATCATTTTGATCCACTATACGGACTAGCAATGTTGTGTTGGTACTCATAGATGGGGATCCATTGTCTGTAGCAATCGCTTTTATTAAAAATTCCTTGTGTTGCTCAAAATCAAAAGATTTCTGAGCATAAATAACACCACTCTCCATATTGATGGAAATGTAAGAGGACAAAGGGAAATCATCTGCATTTATCTCGGAAATGGAATAAATAATTTTGGCATTGTCTCCAGTGTCAGGATCAGATGCTTGGATATTGAATACTGAGAGACCTGGTAAATTGTTCTCTAGTATGTTAACAATATAGGAGGATTTCATAAATACTGGCGGATTGTCATTAACATCTGATATGTCCAGTCTAATGGTTCTTCTGCTGGAAAGTGGAGGCGATCCTCTGTCGGTAGTTACAATTGTGATATTGTAACTGGGCACTTCCTCTCTGTCTATTTCACCTGTTGTAACAATTCTATAATAACTATCAGAGGACATTACCAAACTAAATGAAGACTGTTCCATTAGTTTGCAGTCAATGTATCCATTTTCCCCAGAATCTTGATCGTCAACTTCAATTAAAGCTATTACTGTTCCAGATATGGAATCTTCTGGAACAGGAGAAAACAGTGAGGTGATGGATATTTCAGGGGCATTATCATTTTCATCTATGACATCTATCAAAACTTTACAATGGGCGGCAAGGGCACCTCCATCTTTTGCTTGTACTGACAGTTCATAATTTTTTACTAATTCAAAATCTAACTTCTTATTTATTTTGATTTCACCAGTTTTTGGATGAATGCTGAAAGTTCCTGTGTGGTGTACACTTCCTAATGTTTCAATAATAGAATAGTTTATTTGTGCATTTATACCTTCATCTTTGTCAGTAGCATTCACAGTAATTATTGTAGTATTAATCGCCACATTTTCACTTATGCTGGCTTTATATACTGCCTGTGTAAATACTGGAAAATTATCATTAGCATCTATGACAATGACCCTTATTAATGCAGTGCCAGTTCTTATAGGTTTTCCTCCATCAGTAGCTGTCAATGAGAATTCATGCACATTTTGAATTTCTCGATCTAATGGTTTTTCTAGCACAAGTCCAAGAAATTTACTTCCATCTGAATTGATATTCTCACTCAGTGCAAAATGCTTGTTGTCATTGAGTTTATATGACTGTACTGAATTAATACCAATATCTGGATCTTTTGCATTTTGTAAAGCAAATCTTGTTCCTGGTGGTGTTAATTCAATTGCTTCAAATGTGAATGTGTCAGGATAAAACACTGGAGGATTGTCATTAATATCCTGAATGTCTATCTTGACTCTAAATATATTTAAGGGATTTTCAACCACAGCATCAAAGGTTAGGAAGCAGGTAGCTTCTGCCCCACACAATGTCTCTCTGTCTATTCTGTCCTTTACATACAGATTCCCATTGTCTAGATTCAAATAAAAGTATTTCTCTGCAACACGTGATACAATTCTCAATTTTCTAGATGAGAGCTGCTTAATATCCAATCCAATATCATCTGCAATATTTGCTATCAGAGAGTCTTTTCTCATTTCTTCTACAATGGAATAATGAATCTGACCAGAGACTGAATGATACAGCCAAGGAAATAACAAGAGAAATGTTACTTGCCATCTGATGCCATTGTACATATGTACATGTTTTTTCATTTCAGTCATTTTCATCTTCTTCAATTCTTCTTTAATTTGCATTCCAGTAAATTAAGTTGGGTGTACTGAGCTGTTCAGAAAGCAGCAGCCCTGTACACCGTGCAGAGAGAATCCAGAAAATGGCTGTTCCTCTTCATGCAGATCTGCAGTGTGTGTGAATGGTGAAAATATCAGTGGATCTCCAGTTCTTTATTCTTTTGCTTATTGGTCAAACAGTGGCGCTCTGAGGCAAAACAGGGGAACTGCAATTCCAAGGAATTTTATTCAGCATTTTTAAGCTATCAAAATATTTCTAAATTACAATGAGGTATATAACGTATAATGCGCAACAATCAGCATTCTTCACATTGAAAAACAGAATGTAAAACTTAAAATTATTGGTAAATAAACTTTAATATATTTTTTTATAAATATTTTTTTCTTTGAATTTTGTTTATATTACATTAAGTTAGATACCTGTATATTGAAGAGAACCTATGCTTGCAGCAGACTGTCAGATTTTAACAAAACATTTCAATGAAATCTATAAATAATTATGTAATATTTGGGTTTATACATAAAACAAAAAAAGTCAGCATATTATAGATTATAGCTATAATAGTTTAAATGAATAATAAAACTCATATTATGTTTGTGCACTTCTGAGTTGGAAAGGTAACGCAAGAAACTCTTTATGTCTTTGCGGGAGTTATTCAGTACTGGAGGTATATACAGCACTTTATTGACAAATAATTTTTACGTTTATATTCCTTAAAATTAAAACAAAATTTTAAAGTTTCCCACATGGCAAAAGGTTTTAACATTAATATTCACTGGAACAAGAATTTGAACTTTCCCTACACTGCAGACTGTATACTAAATTTGGCTATGTATATCTTTGTATTCTTTATAAAATATCTGTAATCATGAGGGGCCTGCGCCTATATTATTAATGATAAAATATCTGATCATTAAGTCATTAAGATTAAAACAGTTTAAAGATTTTTTGAAGATGAAATATAACAGTTTCAGACTGTATGAAGTTTATGGTATATATATATATATATATATATATATATATATGTATATATATATATATATATATAAAATTAGATTTTGGAGTAAAATTACTAGATCTGGTGCACTCAGAATCTGGTGCAGCTGTGCATGGTAGCCAATCAGCTTCTAACTTTTTGTCAATAAAACTTTGGCAATAAATCCTGGAAGCTGATTGGTTTCTATCCATTGTTGCACCAGATTTTGCACACTTTTTAGCAAATTATCTGCTTTGTGCTCATATGGATGCAAAGAAGCACACAGAACAGTAAATGGTTATTCTATTGAAATGTGCTGTCTCTTCTCTTTGTATCTAATATTTTTTTATATTTCTAAGGCAAGTGGGACTTCAGATATGTGTTAGCTTTACATTAACTATAGAGGATTCTCTCCCAGACTGTTCATGGTGCTTTTTTCCTTGTGAGAAAAAGGCAGAGCAGGAATGATGATCTTTCCACTGGAAACATAGGCTGCAATAAAATCTTGACCTAGGATCTAACATGTCCTCACTAAAGTATACACATATTTTCTTTTAATGTAAAGAATGTCCAAAGCAAAACTTTTTATATTGTAGACAGTGGAGACAAGTTAAACAAACTTTTCTGTGCATCACACTACATTACAATGATAACACACCTGCCTTACTGTTAAAGCTTCAGTAGCAAAAATTTTATTTTTTCTTACAAACTGAAGCAGCAGCCAATATGTTCAACATAATGCACAAGTAAATGGGGTCACATGATTTACATGTGACCCCATTTACTTTTTACATATTACATCACCCTTTGTACTTCCACACATAGATACATACAGATACTTCCACTACTGAGATGATTTCCATTCGTTCTTTGCATTACACAATAGCATTCAGCATTCAATCCCTTTGCTATACAGATTCATTGACTAACCGACTATTGTTCACAAAACTAGTACATAAAAAAAGTATTGGAATTAATTAATGGTTCAAATTGTTTGCTTGGCCAATTCAAAAATGATTATGCAAGGAGGTGCAAAAAACGTTCTAACGATAGACAGTATTTGACTTTTTAGATGCTATGTATTTATAAGTTTATAAGTTTATAAGTTTTATGAAATGTAATACATTATATTTCATGAAACTACATTTCACAGGAGACTATCATACATAAAGGAAATATATGACTTTGGTAAGTGGCAAATACCATAGCAGCTATTTGATTATCTAAGTAGATTGCATGATCTTGAAAAAGCTCTAAGAATTGATAGAAAATATTACATTCTGCGCATCAGCCACTATAGTTAAACATACTATGAAATGTGTAATTACTTAAATACTTGTATTGTAAGTTTTAGGTTCTGCTTAGCATTTCCAGTAGGTGATACACTAATCAGAATAAACCCATTTCCCTCCCCTCTTGTCAAACCATAGTCATATTACTGTCCCTTACTCATGAGGTATCATACCTACATATATATAATTAACAAAGTTCGCAAAGTTCATCATTTTACAATCTAGCCAGTTTTGGAACAGAAGACAAAGCAAAACCCTCTGAGCAACTGTTCCCTACTTTGCCATGGGTAGTAGGATTCAAATATTCCCATTTTCTCCTTTTTAGATTGCAACTTAGAAAAAAAAAATCATCTAGTATTTCATTATTGGCTATGCCTTTAATATTTACATGGTAAGGCATTCCACAGGTTACACATCTTTACTGTACATGAGCCAAAATATAATATGTATCACTCTGTGATTACAGTGCAGTTTACAAAAGTAAATGGAAAGAAAGATATCATGCTTCATTTTAACTTCATATACATGGCAAAACATACATCATTTTGTGTTAAAAATAGAGTTTCAGTTACTTGTACACAGTCCTCCCTTGATGATGGCACTTAGTCATGGTACTAGAATGCCAAAATACTTGTGCATCAGGCACAGTTTTCTGGTACCCTTCCAAGCACCAAATCAATACTTACACCGCTGCATCTCAAAATATTGTATGCTTTCCACTGGGGGGAGACATAGGCATGGGGGAACCCAAGCCATAGCATTGCAGAGTAGGCAAGGATGACTATGTGAACTCAGTGTCCTTCCATAATAATGTGATTTGTTGGCTGCTACATCACATGGCCATCCACTAGAGTGCACAACTAAGCGGCAGAAGAAGAGGTTCTATTTATAAATTATGCTCTAGCAAGCATATGGCTGTCCTCTGGACCCTAAAAAGTATGCAGCAAGATACTGGTTACAGTGATATGTTTATAACATCACGGTGGCCAGAAAATTATCTTAATAAATACATCATTCAAAATCTGAAAGGTTAGCTTGTTCTGTCATTTATTTAGGGCTTTAAGGTTCAGGTACCTACCCCCTTCTCCTAGGCTTCCCTTGTCTCTACCCCTCCCCAACCTTCCTTCACCTCACCTTTTACACAATGGAGTTTTCTAATGTTGCCATATGAAAAAGAGATATGCAGCTCAAATATGTAAGTAAAATACAGATGTCACAAATACACTAAACTACAAAAGTTTTGCCTGGTAAATAGCATTATGACACTGCCTTGTGACTTCCAGAAAATGCAAGTGATAGTTGTCTTGTAATGCAGTACTGAAATCCAGTCATACTATATTGTTGTATCAAATATTATGTCTGCACCACAAACTTCTAAAAATTAAACACAGCTGTTGTATTAGAACACCTTCTGGTATTCAAAATAAAATACTGCATAGTTAAAATGTACAGTGCTAGTAAATATATATTAACAAATTAATGTGATTTTCTTATAGATACCACATATATCATAGTCCATATATTCATTATGTGCTGCATAAAATGCTAAGAGTGCAAATCAATCCACATCATTGGGTACAAAAAAGCAATCACTAAGTGCTATTTTTTTTTTTTGCAAAATTGTAAACAATAATAACAATATAAAGCGCAAGAACCACACACTCTATGCCCACTTTAACTACAATCAAAAGTATTCAGTGCATATAGTCTTTTTATCCAAATCCATTGTTAACAGACAAAGATCATTATCTCCAGCAGAAATTAAGTTGACATCCCAAGTATTGTGCTGCCATACAGAAACACTCTGTGTGAACTCCACGCTGTTCTGTGAATTCTCCACAAAGTTGTTTAAACTAATCACCAGAAGCTCTGACCCTTTAAATGGCTCCTTAGAACTTTCTTATAAACCTCCAAGGCAAACCATCACCAATTCAAGAGAGTTCCATATAAAAATAATAAACCATCTGCGGGATGAAATCACATGACTAAACCACGCCCATGCCTCCCATCAATCAGACATCATCAGGGATGGATATATGATAACTTACCAGTGATCACTAGATACTAATTCACTGGTCACAGAGGAATTTGTTATAAAGTTAGACTGGGACGTTAATATGAAGACTGTCAGACCAAAACTTTTTATATGCACTGTGCCTTACATGTGCTTTCCTCAAATATTTTAAACTGGTTAACACTTTCCTAACATAGTTAGGTGTTACTAAACCCACAACAGTAAAATCAGCCTGTATATGCAGTAGAGCATGCTTGTTATACTCACTGTGGAACCTAAGGGGTTAATCATCTGCATTGTGTAAAAAGGCTGTTTGATCCTTTCTTCTCTGCCCTCCTCTTGTTGAAATGGCCACCTGATACAGACTGAACCCAGGTCACATGCACATGCTCAGTTTGGTGTGTATTGCTAGAAAGGGTTTTTTTTTTTCTTGCGAGGGTGCATGTGATCAGCACAGGGCCAATCAGCACTGTCCAGACAGAAGCTCAGAGGTTTCACATCCTCCTAGAGCAGAAAGAAAACTCCTTCTACAAGCTTTAACCAGTGCTCTGCTGAAGTCACAAGACTGCTTGAACTGCTGATGAGAAAAGGTATTTAACAGTTTATATTTACTAACATAATTGCATGTCCATGTTGTGTGTAGTGTGGGAGACCAGATATAGTGAATGCAGGGTCCTGGGTTTAGTAGCACTTTAAGCAATGAAACTATTATAATGAGCTAAAAACCAAGAATACAACAGCCATGGAGACATAATTAAGTGTGAATATTATGACTTACCTGAACAACTCCTGTGGATGCAAGTGCTTCTTTAGAACTCCCATTTCCAAGACCTGAATCATCAGTGTCAATCAGGTTATCTACAGGGACATTTTGATTTGACTTTAAAAGTCTAAAATCATTTTCAGATTGGTCCAAAGCCACACAAACATCATAGGAATAAGGAAAGGATAAAGTTCCATCACTATACATGGAAAGTATCCTGGGATCAGGAGGATAGAGGCTTGCACCTAAAGGTCCAAAGTTTGGTAATGGTTTTGACTCCTTGCATTTTGATATAATGACCAATATAACAGTTATAATAAACAATAACGAAATAAGGGCTAAAGCAATCACCAAGTATAATTGCAAGTGTGACTGAGGAGGATCTTCATCAGGAAATTGATTGCTGAGCTTAGGAACCATTTGCTGGAAATTATCTGCAATAATGAAGGTTAGGGAGACTGTAGCTGAGAGAGACAGAATGCCATTATCTCTCACCATCACCACAACCTTCTGATTCTGTATATCTTTCTCCTGAAAAATGCGTGATGTCCTGATTTCTCCTGTATGTTCCTTAATGACAAAAAACGATGGTTCTGATATTTGTATAAAATGATAAGAAAGCCAAGCGTTATGTCCAGAGTCTTCATCCACTGCAACCACCTTTGTAATTAAAGATCCAGGTTCAGCAGTAAAAGGAACCATCTCAAATGCATCCTGGCTACCTCTTCCTGGCGATGGGAACAAGATTCTTGGAGCATTATCATTCTGATCTACTATACGGATCAGTAATGTTGTGTTGGTACTCAGAGATGGAGATCCATTGTCTTTGGCAGTTATTTGTACGGAAAACTCCATGCGCTGCTCAAAATCGAAAGATTTCTGAGCATAAAGATCTCCCGTCTCCATATTAATGGAAAGGTAGGAAGATAAAGGGAAATCGTCTCCATTTATTTTGGATATTGTATAAATAATTTTAGCATTGTCTCCTGCATCAGGATCATAAGCTTTTTATACTGTATATTAAGGCACCTGGCAAATTATTTTCTGGTATATAAACAACATGGGAAAATGAAATAAACACTGGTGGATTGTCATTAACATCTGATATGTCCAGTCTGATGGTTCTTGTGCTAGAAAGTGGAGGAGATCCTCTGTCGGTAGCTACGATTGTGATATTATAACTGGATTCTTTCTCTCTGTCTATATCACCTGTAGTAACAATTCTATAATAACTATCAGATGACATTGCTAAACTGAATGAAGGCTGTTCTATTAGCTTGCAATCAATGTATCCATTTTCTCCAGAATCTTGATCATCAACTTCAATTAGAGCTATTACTGTTCCAGACATGGAATCTTCTGGGACAGGAGAAAATAATGATGTGATGGATATCTCAGGAGCATTATCATTTTCATCTATGACTTCTATCAATATCTTGCAGTGGGTGACAAGACCACCTCCATCTTTTGCTTGTACTGACAGTTCATAATTTTTTGTTGATTCAAAATCTAATTTCCTATTTATTTTAATTTCACCAGTTGTTGGATTAATGCTGAATGCTCCCGTGTGATGTACGTATCCTGATGTTCGGCTGAAATAATATTTTATTTCTGCATATATACCTTCATCTTTGTCAGTAGCATTCACAGTAATTATTGTAGTATTAATTGGCACATTTTCACTTGTGCTGGTTTTATACACTGTCTGTGTAAATACTGGAAAATTATCATTAGCATCTGTGACAATAATTTTTATTAATGCAGTGCCAGATCTCATAGGTTTTCCTCCATCAGTAGCTGTTAAGGAAAATTCATGCACATTCCGAGATTCTCGATCTAATGGTTTTTCTAGCACAATTTCAAGAAATTGACTTCCATCTGAGTTGATTTTCTCACTCAATGCAAAATGCTTGTTATCACTGAGCTTATAGGTCTGTACTGAATTCATTCCAAAATCTGAATCTTCTGCATTCTGCAAAGTAAATCTAGATCCTGGTGATAGTGATTCAATTGCTTCATATGTGAATGTGTCAGGATAAAACACTGGAGGATTATCATTTATGTCCTCAATGTCTACCTTGACTCTAAATATATTTAAGGGATTTTCAAGCACAGCATCAAAGGTTAGGAAGCAGGTAGCTTCTGCCCCACACAATGTCTCTCTGTCTATCCTGTCCTTCACATAGAGATTTCCATTATCTACATTCACATAAAAGTATTTCTCTGCAACACGTGATACAATTCTCAGTTTTCTAGATGAGAGCCAATTAATATCTAATTCAAGATCCTTTGCAATATTTGCTATCAGAGAGTCTTTTCTCATTTCCTCTACAATGGAATAATGAATCTGACCAGAGACTGAATGATATAGCCAGGAAAATAAGAGGGGAAATATTACTTGCCAAATGATTCCTTTGTATCTCGTGGCTTGTTGCTTTAGCCCAGCCATGTTCTGCTTCTGCAGTCCTTGTGTAATGTATAATCCAGTGAAGTAAGATAGATGCACAAGATTGTTTTAATGCAAGAAAACAGCAGCTCTGTACACTGTGTAGAGAAAATCCAGAAAATGGCTTTGTCACAGATCTGTTGTATATACGCTGTATGAGGGATGAAAATACCAGTGGATCTCACATTCTGTATTCTTTTGCTTATTGGTCAAACAGTGGCGCTCTGAGGTGAAACTGAGGAACTGCAAGATTTAGCAAGTATTTATTGTCTGAGCTACCTAGATTTTGATCAATTTAAATAGATATATTAAAGCATTAAATAAACATTTTGAGTCTGGAGTAATATCTACATTTATGGTTTTCATTTGTTTCATGAGCTTTTTATTTCTTTGAAGCTAATTTACATTAGGTAAAAGTTCTTCTCAGAGTATAAAAAAATGCAAGATAATGTTACCAGTAATACTACTACTACTACTACTACTACTACTACTACTACTACTATAAAATAATAATTGTCCTGCACATGAAAAAAAAAAAAAAGAAAATCTCACCAGCCAATTTATTAGGTACACCTTGCTAGTACGGGTTAGACTCCCTTTTGCCTTCAGATTTTTCGGCTGCACATCCATAATGCAAATCTCCTTTTCCGCCACATCTCAAAGGTGCTCTTTTGGACTGAGATCTGGTGACTGTGGAGGCCATTGGAGTTCAGTGAACTCATTGTTATGTTCAAGAAACCAGTTTGAGATGATTTGAGCTTTGTGACATGGTGCATTATTCTGCTGGAAGTAGCCATCAGAAGATGGGTACACTGTAGTCATAAAAGGATTAACATGGTCAGCAACAATACTCAGTAGGCCATGGTGCTTAAACAATGCTCAATTGGTACTAAGGGGCCCAAAGTGTGATAAGAGAATACCTCCCACACCATTACGCCACCACCCCCAGCCTGAACTATAGATACAAGGTAGGATGGATCCATGCTTTCTTTTTGTTTACACCAAATTCTGACCCTACCATCTGAATGTCGCAGCTGAAATCAAGACTCATTAGACCAGACAACATTTTTCCAATCTTCTACTGTCCATTTTTGTTGAGCCTGGTTAAATTGTAGCCTCCGTTTCCTGTTCTTAGCGACAGAAGTGGCACTTTGTATGGTCTTCTGCTTCTATAACCCATTTGCTTCAAGGTTCGATGTGTTGTGTGTTCTGAGATGGCATTCTGCATACCTTGGTTGTAACAAGTGGTTATTTGAGTTACTGTTGCCTTTTTTATAATCTTGAACCAGTCTTCCCATTCTCCTCTGACCTCTGACATCTGACATCAACAAGGCATTTTCATCCACACAACTGCCACTCACTGGATATTTTCTCTTTTTTGGACCATTCTGTGTAAATCCTAGAGATGGTTGTGCATGATAAACCACGTCTAGATGCCTAAATGCATTGAGTTGCTGCCATGTGATTGGCTGATTAGCAATTTGTGTTACCAAGCAATAGAACAGGTGCACCTAATAAAAAGGCTGGTGAGTGTATATACTGTATATATGTATAATATGTATTTCACATAACCACACCACACTCTTCCACTCATGCAAAATGATCACTTAGACTTGATGGCCACATTTGTCCCACATACAGTATCAAAGAACTAGAACTATAATATAATTTCATGTATTAAAACATAAAATTTGAGAGGATAGGGCATGTATAGTAAATATCTCTTAACCAAATAAGTTCCTTAAAAGTGAAGTACAGACAAAGTTCTTTTGGCTGTACTTCTCCTGTGCATTACAGGAGTGCCATTCATCATGCATTCCTGTGATCCATTTTTAGCTGACAGCAAGCTGAAGCCCACTGTTGGGTAATGTCACTCAGCCAGTCTAGGCTGGGGAAAGATCCCGAATTTAAAGTCAGGATTCCACCCTAGAGTCTGGAGCGGCACCTGGCTCAGCCTCTCAGTGAAACGCTGAGAGCCTGATCCAGCTTCTCCCGCCCCCTCCACAGCCCAGCGCTTCAGTGAGCACAGTTAGATTTTAGAGAAATATTAAAATACAACAAATACAGTACATAGAAAAAGACTGCAAAATGATTTCCATCACAGGGGAAGCAGGACCTGACAAGTTTAACTTGTAAAAAGCCCAGTCCATTGAACCAAGGTCATACTGCCCGAAATCAAATCTATTGTAGTTTACAAAAATAGTCAACAGACCGAGCTTCAGTTTTCTGCAATTTGAACCATTTGCAATCCTACTTAAAATCAATTGCCTGAATAACAACTGAATGTAACAATTTTAATTAATGCACTAGTTTACATGCTTGTGCATAAATTTAAATTGTTACAACAATTGTTAAAAACATTTGTAAATTCAGTACAGGTACAATTTATTCAGTATAGTTCTATGTTCTATAAACAAAATTGGTTATTAAATTAGATATGAATGAAGATTAAATGCAGATAAATGTCTAAAATAAGAAGACAGACTACCTGTCTACCTTCAAGTAAAATGTCACTGATGACATGACTTTTAACTCTCATCTGCATGTGACCACGACCACTTTTAAAACATTACTGTTCTTTTACTTGAATGTGAAAAATGATCTTGTGCTTTAGCACCTAAACATTTGAACAAGAAGGTGGAGTTGATTTACTGGATGAATTGAAGCTTTACACCTTGCTAACTTAGCAAAGTGAATGTTAGCCAAAAGAGAGAAACTTAAAGTTTTTCTAAATCCTTACCTATACCTGGTGAAGTTACTGGCCTCAAGTGATACACAGAGATGAAACAAATCCTCCAACATATGTTGTACCTGGTTATTATTATCATACAGGATTTATATAGCACCAACGGTTTGCTCAGCGCTTTACATTATAGTGGGAGACAATACAGCAACAATACAGTTCAATACAAGAGGGATTTGAGGGCCCTGCTCCTCGGAGTTTACAATCTAGGAGGATTATCTGCCATGTGTCCTGTACACTTTGGTAAAACTCAAATATGAAAAGGATTTTTCACAAACTCACACTACAAGGTGGGGGTGGGGTGCTGATTGGAGGGAAGGGACACAGCACATAAGAACAGAGCTGAGGCTATCAATTAGCTGGAGCTCCCTCCCCTCATCTTGTTATCACTTTGGTGTCAGAAAAACTTGTCCGAAGTGAGTCATGCTGATAGCAGAACAATGACACATCAGAGCCAAATGAAACTTAGTGATTTGGAGAGAGGCTAATAAACACTATAGAAATATGTGCTTTGTTCAGATTTCACGTCTAAGCTTTACAACCACTTTACTTCACTTTGAGCACTTAATCATGTGCCTAGAAAAAAAGATTCTTTGCACATGGTTTGACACTTAAAATGATCACAGCTTCACCTTATTCACTAGTGTCCACTTTGCATAGAAGGTGGAATCATTGTAACATACAACATGCTCAACAAGTGTGCCATTTAGAGAATGCTTTGCACTTTCTCAATGAATGCAAAGCATTCTCTGATTGGACAAGGTGGAAAATTTCACGTAACCGCATTCTCTCCACCTCTTCCCATTTGGAGAACATTTTCATTCCCTAAGAAAGGTGATTTTTTTAATGACACTCATGCCAACTGGGCTACCTCCTGTGTGTAAAATGCAGCAGGACAGTCACTTGGTGTGGGGACCTAGAAGCTGGTGGAGATCACTTTAGTAGTGGTGTCTACTGCAGTGATTTCCAGCTTCTAGTGGGATCCCACAGGTGTGGTATATGTATAGTTGCAATTGTCCAAATTGGAGGATTTTTTTTAAATAGCAAGTCTGCCATATCAGACTCACACATCAATTAATGAGCACCTCATAAATATATTCCTGTTCTAATTTTCACATTAATGACATAACATTCTGTTATGTAATTCTGGCATTTATACAAGAACAGTACAAGGCATTAAAAAGAGCAAGCCATGATCAAAATTATAGACTCAGAAAATTCAGTTCTAAGCTACTGTGGTTACCTTGGTGTTTAAAATATACAGTATATATTTTCCCCTTATGTAGGCATACTGGCTTTCAGAATGGCACTTACAGTTGTATGTCAATGAAAGCCTAAAGGTTGCTGCCTGTGAACTGCGTCAGATCACATATAATTTCCCAGGTTCAGAGTATGCATAATAGCATCCAACCAAAAAGTCTTAAGTTTGACACCATCCCTTGTAATCATGATGCTCAGTTATGTGATACTGTTCTGTTCTTTCAGCAGTTGGGAAATAGTGTGTTTGGTCTGGCTGTTGGCAAGCTAGTGCCTGTAAATCCTTCATATGTCCTCTGACCCCTGACTCTCTAATTAAAAAGACAGACTTTGACATAATAAGCTAAAGGTGGATCGTTATTAAATGAAAGTCTATACAATTATAATTAAATTATTAAAGACTAAACAATATCTAAACCAAGCTTGCATAGATGCTATGCTTGCATTAAAACTTATGGTTAGGTGTATTCTAAACATATTAAAAATTGGGAAATTATCTTTATGAAGATTAAATACACATAAAAGTGCAAAATAAGTAGATAGATAATGTCACACATAACCATCATGAAAAATGTTACTGATGACATGACCCTTGACGTTAATGTACATGTAACCATTATAAACCAATTATGCCTGATGCATGCTGGGATACTCGCAGAAATCCATTATTTGAGGTTTTGAGGGGCACAGACCACATGCAGCAGTTGTATTTTCTTCTCATGAGTACATGTAATCACAGTTAACTAATGTCATTGCTTAAACCAGTTTAAAAAAAACC